TTTGGAAATGTGACCCTAATTTGTGTAAGATAAACTTTGTGTGACGTATTTTGGTAAACTTTTAGGATTATACACTATAATTAGTACTGTCACTTCATGATAATTATGGTGCCGTAACACTTTTTACAATTTTATATAAAACTTCTTTTTTTTCTTATTGAATGTCTACCTTTAATTTACGGGACACCAGTAGTCTATATGAGCTTCTTAAATGAGTTGGTATCAGTGACAAAATTTGAATTAAATTGTATTTTAGATACCTTTTAAAGTAATTAGGTGTCATTTGCGTATTAAACAAACAAAAAACGAAAAATGTGTACTGTAGAGGGTGGTCCAAATTGGATACTTCCTTATGGAAATTCCCTTACTATTTTAAAAGATAGAAAAAAATGGACCTAGGTGTCTAGAGCTCAATTTTAAAGAGAAAATAACTGGCTGATGCTGGTGCAAACAGAAAACGAAATCTCTAATCTTTTGGCCGCTAGGGGGCGTTTCTCGAATTTAGTCGAGCTCCATAACTCTTATTAAAAATAATTGATTTTGGCAAAATCTTTCTTATGGCACTTTATGTAGAATCAATCGCGATACCCAGTTTTTATAACGTCCGTGAAGTTGGCACCGCCCATTGTTCATATTAATATTATTTGTATGCACATCGTTTGTTTAACTATTTTCATCGTTTGTTTGCATTTCCGTATGTCTTTTTTAAAAATTCCAAATGAGCGAACTAACTTCACGGTGGCTGGCCCAAAATCATAATGTTGTTAAGTTTGCAAGTCATTTGTTTATGGTCTGTGGGCGCGTAAACTTTACTGTCATTATATTATTTTTCATCACGATATGCATCTTTTTAAAAAAATGTTAAATGGAAAATTAACTTTATGGTGGTGCAGCGACAATTCGCTTATGAACTCTACAATTGTAGCAGTAGCATGCATGCGGTGATTAGGTAAACGTAAAAGGCTCTAATAAATTAGTCACTGTTCTTCAAACAATTCTCTAATTTTCATATTAAAATGTACGATGGTACTTAGAACTGCCTACCGTTTTAATACAATGCGATAAAAAATGAGTTGCTGTCGAGTCACCTTTGGAATTTTTGTTTACATGGGAAATTGTACCACAGATTGAAATAGTAATAGTTTTTTCCGCTCCCGAACGTTTTTTCCGCTCTCAAAAGTTTTTTCTGCTCCCGAGCGCTTTTTCCGTTCTTGAGCTTTTTTTCCGCGCACGAGCACTTTTCCCAAGCGCTCGAGCACTTTTAGGAGTGTTCGGAACTCACAAGCGGTCTCGCGTTGAAATTATGGATTCTACAGGCCACGTTCTATAAGAAATTTTTTTTCCGGGTCGATCTGAGACAAATTTTTTTTCGGGCCTCAAAAAAAGGCAGTGTATAAACCTTCCCTTTTTACCAAAAATCGACCACACCAAAATTTCTCGGGAAAACACTTTTTCTTATTAATTTTGGTGCGTAGAATCCAAAACAATTCGTACTTTTTCGATCAGACTTCTCAATCAAAAGTTATAGACTAGAAACCAATTTCGAAAGAAAATTCAAAGGGCTGTAACTTTTGAACTAGTAGGCCAATCTTGGAACTGTTTGAAATTATGGATTCTACAGGCCACGTTCTATAAGAAAATTCCGGGTCGATCTGAGCTTTTTTCATACAATTAGAACGCGCGTCGCTCCAGCGGTTTTTTAGAACACTCGATCCATGATGAGTTGCTGTTGAGTCTCCTTTGGAAGTTCAAGTTAAGTACAATCACAGATTTAAATATACTATTTAAATCTGTGGTACAATTTCCTATGCAAACAAAAATTCCAAAGGTGACTCGACAGCAACTCATTTTTTATCGCATTGTATTAAAACGGTGGGCAGTTCTAAGTACCATCGTACATTTTAATATGAAAATTAGAGAATTCTTTGAGGAACAGTGATTAATTTATTAGAGCCTTTTACGTTTACCTAATCATTGCATGTATGTTACTGCTACAATTGTAGAGTGGTTCATAAGCGAATTTTAGCTGCACCACCATAAAGTGAATTTTCCATTTAACATTTTGTAAAAAGATGCATATCGTGATGAAAAATAATATAATGACAGTAAAGTTTACGCGCCCACAGACGATAAACAAATGACTTGCAAACTTAACAACATTATGATTTTGGGTCAGCCACCGTGAAGTTAGTTCGCCCATTTGGAATTTTTAAAAAAGACATACGGAAATGCAAACAAACGATGAAAATACATAGTTAAACAAACGTAAACAAACGATGTGCATACAAATAATATTAATATGAACAATGGGCGGTGCTAACTTCACGGACGTGTTTTTATACAGGGTATTCGGTTCTTACGACCCTAAACTACATTTCTTCATATGGACCACCCTATATATTTGGGAGTTTTTGAAAAGAGATTTCCTAAACGTATCATTTGCTATATTTATATTAAATAATAATTGCAATATTGCATTTTATACAGTAAAATATTTTTATTGCGGACATCTAGGTTTCCATGGCGAACAAAACATGGCAGGATTGTTTAAAATGACAATTTCTTGGTTATGTGAAAATGTTTACCTATTAGTTAAAAATAGTTTTTAAACACATAAAAACAAACCAAAATATACCTAGTTTAGGGTCGTATGAGAAAAAGGAAACACCCTGTATAAAAACTGTATCGCGATGGATTCTACATAAAAAAGTGCTTTAAGATAGATTTTAATAATAAGAATGTTATGGGACATTAAAGAAATCGACACCTATGTTCACTTTTTCCTATCTCTTAAAATGAAGGGTGCTTCCATAAGAAAGGGGACCACCCTGTACAGGGTGATATTAAAAAAAAATATCAATTAGCGAATGAGCCTTTTAGGAATATTCTCTACTTTACTGCGTGATAAGAATATTTATTATTTATTTAGAACCTGATTCAATTTTTAAAGACCTAACAAATCCTCCTGGAATTCGTACCTTTGGTTGTCTCTCTGTTTGCCCATCTGTTCAATTGGGTCATGTTTTTATCTGTATTTTTGAATTTTTGAATGAAACCGTTCTATAAAGTCCGCAAATGACAAACTGGACCTAGTGCCATTTAAAATTGGGGTGTTGAGCTCTGTTATGCTGGAAGCTATATCTGGGTACATCCATTAAATCGGTATTGATAATAGAATCTCCACTAAAAACGCAGGTGGCACTGTTAAAACGTATGTGTAAAATACCTAAATACATGAATTTTACGAAATAAGTTAAGTTTGTTTTTATTATATTTTAGGTATCCGTTACTCCATGGATGTAAATCGTGATGAAGTCAAAGCCTTAGCTGCACTAATGACCTTCAAATGCGCCTGTGTCGATGTTCCATTCGGTGGTGGTAAAGCGGGAATCAGAATCAACCCCAAGGAGTATTCCGATAACGAAATGGAGAAAATTACACGTCGGTTCGCTCTCGAGTTAGCAAAGAAGGGATTCATGGGTTAGTATATATATTTAGTGGATGATTTTGTTTGTAAGACGTTTATTAGGACCCGGAATTGATGTACCGGCACCCGATGTTGGAACGGGTGAAAGAGAAATGTCGTGGATTGCGGATACTTTTTCGAAGACCGTCGGCTACCAAGACATTAACGCGCATGCGTGTGTCACCGGAAAGCCCATTAATCAAGGTGGCATTCACGGAAGAGTATCGGCGACGGGACGAGGAGTTTTCCACGGTCTCAATAATTTCGTCAACGAACCCAGTTTCATGCAAATGATTGGTCTCGACACGGGAATTAAGGGAAAAACTTTCATTGTACAAGGTTTCGGTAATGTAGGTCTACACACCATGCGATACTTGCACCGTGCCGGAGGCAAATGTATTGGAATAATTGAATATGACGGTTCCATATTTAATCCTAATGGCATTGATCCTAAGGTAGTTCATTTTTGGTGATGGCTTTTCACCGTAAACTTCTTCTAGGAACTGGAAGAATACCGCATTTCTAAAGGAACAGTTAATGGTTTTCCTGGAGCTAAGGCATATCAAGGGGAAGGTCTTCTGTATGAGCCCTGTGATATCTTAGTGCCCGCTGCTGTAGAGAAAGTTATCAACAAAGAGAATGCTCATAAAATTAAAGCAAAAATTATTGCCGAAGCTGCCAATGGTCCAACAACCCCGGCTGCAGATAAAATTTTAATAGATAATAATATTCTGGTCATTCCTGATTTGTACATAAACGCAGGTGGTGTGACGGTCTCATTCTTTGAATGGTTGAAAAACTTAAACCACGTCTCTTACGGCAGACTTACCTTTAAATATGAACGCGAATCCAACCACCATCTTTTAGGTAAGCATTCACTTGACGTTTGGATTGTGTCTAGCTCAAATTCCTTATAGCTTCTGTGCAAGAATCGTTAGTCCGTCACTTCGGCAAGGACTTCAGCAACGTGCAAGTGACACCATCTGAAGCTTTCCAAAAACGTATCTCGGGCGCATCTGAGAAGGATATCGTACACTCCGGTCTTGATTACACCATGGAACGTTCGGCAAAGGTACTTTTTGACGGAAAATCATTAAAGTCCCGAGACTTTCACGATTTTCTGCCTTTATTTATAACCTTCTACCTTCTCTCCCATTTATTAAGTATCGTGTACGTTGTAGGCCATCATGAAAACTGCCCAGAAATTCAACTTAGGTCTCGACATCAGAACAGCCGCTTACATCAACTCCATTGAAAAGATATTCACAACATATTCCGAAGCCGGACTCACATTCTAATAAGAGAAATGAAGTTCGATAACCAGTATTTGTATGTCGTCAAGTTTCAATACAGTCCCGGTTTTGTTGTTTTAACCTTTTTATAAATAATTCAGATCATGTTATTGTATTGGTACATTTAATAAATTTAACTTTCACGTTTAGTTTGCTTTATTTTTTATTATTAATTCCCTTGGAAAAGTTTGTTTTAGGTGCCTCATTTGCTGTCGCATAAGAGATGCCACTACTGTTACAAGTGAGTGTCTATTATTTAGAATGTTACCTTTTTTATTGATATGGGTTTTTTAGGTGGCCTGTTGGATTTCTCTTGAAATGAAGGAATTCGTGATTATAATAATAATGCTTTATTTGCCCAACAGGAACAACCATTTACAGGACGAACGTGAAAATACATACAGAAAAGTTATTAATTCTAAATTAGCAATAAACGCTAAAAGTGATAAAAGAAAAAGAGAAAAAAAATACTCAGCAGCAACAAATAATACAAAAAAAAACAAATGATTTGAAAATAAAGAACGCCAAGATATTAGGAATTATTTAGACGCTATTTCAAGAATACAGTTCGTACAGGTAAATATTTTCACATTCATTACAAATTTTATTAAATGTGTCACACATATGAAGGGTCCGTTCAGTTGGCCCCCCCATTGAGAGATTTGATAGTCGTATTATTTTAAAATGAATGCGCTCATATGCGCCACCGATAATAACTCTTGCGCCATTATCGTTTTTTAGAAATCCGAAAAAACATTTGGGGGGGCCAAGTGAACGTAGCCCCCCCAGTACGTATTTTGTCGCTTGTAACTAGGTCACCTGATACATTTGGTTATGCGCTCAATTGCGCCACTTGAATTAAAGCTAGCGCCATTACGGTTAAGCCATAAAATTTTTTTAAAAAGTGGGGGGGGGGGCTAACTTAACGTTTTCAAAACGTATTCAAAATTTTATGGCTTAACCGTAATGGCGCTAGCTTTAATTCAAGTGACGCAATTGAGCGCATACCCAAATGTATCAGGTGACCTAGTTACAAGCGACAAAATACGTACTGGGGGGAGGCGCTACGTTCACTTGCCCCCCCTCAATGTTTTTTCGAATTTCTAAAAACCGATAATGGCGCAAGAGTTATTATCGGTGGCGCATATGAGCGCATTCATTTTAAAATAATACGACTATCAAATCTATCAGTGGGGGGCCAAGTTAACGGACCCCATATGAAATGTATTGGGAATCTTAATAAAGTGTATGATTTCACTCTAGGACAGAAAAACGTAATATTGTTCCTGGATTGCTGTCGAGGCACATGAAACTTTAGCTGCTGAATCAATTCTGGACAATCCACTAAATTCAGTTATAGTCAAATGCGAAGTCAAATGACTGCTGATTCAAAATCAAAACAAAATTGGGTAGGTAGGATAAATAGCCTGTCAAGGTTTTTCTATTCTATTTAAAAAAAATCAAGCTAGCGATGGTTAAGTGAGAAAGGGTTGGATGGAATTCATGTTACAAAGCACTGGTGATAGTCTTGTCTGTCAGGGCCGGATTGATGGGGGGGTGCCCCCCCCCCTAACACGTGACTATAGTCGGCAAAACTTCAGTTAGTCGGCACTCGGCAAATCGCTATTCAAATTAAATGAAATTTGGTTGTGAAAATGTTTTCGCCATATTGTATCACAGAGAACTGTAGAATATTTTTATCGTTTCCTGTTATAATAACGAGTTTAGTTTCATTACAAACATCCCATGTAAATATCTTGTAGACGGAGCGTGCACACAATACTTATTTTATTACTGATGTCATTGTTTAAATACTTTATAAACAATATACTAATGTATGCCTGTATAGTTAATATCATTGAGTTCTGCAAAATATGATCTTTAGTCCAGATAATGATTATTATTATATTACACCAGCCACCAGCCTACTCATTTTGGTACTTAGGTACTAAATGCTTTTCATTTTTCAATGACGCAAATTTTTCTAACCGTTATGTTTGCATGGGTCTAAAAGTTGCGATAGGGATAGATGGTAGATAAGTATACAGGGTGGTCATTTTTAGCGCCTGACGATGGGATCTCTTACGTTAAAAACTAATGTTGGTCAAATTGGGGTAAAGTTAAATTTAAATCCGAATCAATAATTGAAACCACTTGTGGGATAACTCTTTTAGTCGCAATAATTAAAAAGAACTAAATTTTACGTTTTAATAATTCTGTATTTAAAAAAAACGAGTATACCTACTTGAGAAATGGGCGGTTTACACTATGACATTATTTTCTAATAAGAGGAATTTGTTTTGAACGTAGGGGTCACATTGTATTTGTAGATTTTTTTTAATAAAGAATTTACTATGGATTTCTATATTACATTTTAAATATAACATTTAATTATTCAATTGTCACGAGAGTGTCTTTTAGACAAAAATAGGTTTTGGATAGATTACTACTTTTAACTTACGAGTATTATAATATCTAATAAAATCTTGCCAAAGGAACCCTTTACTACATTTAAAACGACATTTTTATTAATTATTTTAATTGTAAATGTAAACTACCAAAGCAAATGAGTTTGACTGCAATTTCTAAGGCACTGTCGTGAAAATTGAATAATAAGGTATTTTGGTAAAATCAAAGTAATAAATTAAAAGCTATGGCACGTCAGAGAAAAATAACTCTGATGAAAGATCATAAGATGAAATTTGGCGACCCTAAAGCAAAAAAAAGAGTTCTATGCCATTCTGGCCATATTCATCAAATTCCTCTGAAAAAGTCTTCTAAACGTCCCACTTCGATTCGGTTTTATAAATTATAAAATAGAATCCATGTCCATTATGAGCCGCGAAAAAAGAGCACTCCGTATAATGACAATTATCATAAAATAATAATAATTATTATTACTTTGGTATTTATTAAAATGCCGTCGTTTAATGTCTATATTTTGAATTTTTATGGAAGTCGGCATTTTTATTGCATACATCCCCCTCACTTGGAGCCTCTGACTACGGCCCTGTTGTCTGTGCCCATTACAGTTTTTCAAAATTTGACCTTTAAACTGACATCAAAATGGTAGGTTTTTAGCTATCTGCACGCCCTCAAAATAATAAGCGCCTGTATCCACCACCCTTCCTAAGTGACGTAGAATAAAATTTATTTATTTGTTTATATTTATATTAAATTACATTAATATTGGCTCTTTATACCTAATGTACTGGGTGGCCAAATAAGAATGGCCGACGGCTATATTTCAGAAACTAGTAGGCGTAGAGCTTTCGGGTAAATAATTATGTAATAAAAGTGCCCAAGAGAAATTGTTGGAAATTATTTTCGAGTGTGTGTGAGAGTTTTAAACCTGATAATAATGCTCATGCTTTTTTTAAAAAATAAATATTCATTCCTCAAGATTAGCTTAACCGACTTTAACAAACTTTGGCTCGTTTAAGAAAGCTTTATTTGGCCTACCAACAGTCTATTTGTTTTTATACTTGGTAATTTTATGGTCGTCACTAGAGAGCGTTAACTGAAATTTAACTATACAGGGTGTACCTAAGATCCCTAGGATCAGAACTTCTTTACCATAAAGGAAACTGAAAAAAGTCTTAGAGTAAAATTTTACACAATTAACGCCAGCATGTTTCTAAAATATTTTTGATCACTAGTAGCGTGCAGTATTCCAGTGGCAGATTTGGCATTTTTTTAAATGGAACACCCCATATTTTATTACTGATTTTTAATTCAACTGTTTTCTTTTCCAAGGATCTCTTGTTCTTTAAACTTAAATGCGTTTATTTTGGGTTCAAATGTGTTAAAAATAGTTCTAGTTTAACATGCATTAAAATTTTGATTAGCATAAATTACTTATGTGTAGTTATATGTTCTTTTCAGAAATATAATAACTAATGCTGTGAAAAAACCGCCGATAAAACAAAAAAATTCATATATCTTAATCTATTTTGACCAATACTTCCAGTTTTAAAAAAGATACAGATCTGGGATTGTTACTGAAATATCAAGTATTTAATTCTCTATTTTATCGTGTAAAAAAATAACATCATTTCATTTAATTTTTTCAAAAAATCATAGTATTCAGGATGTAGCACCAAAGATCCCTTGGATCATAACTCATTTACCATAAAAGATAGCGAAAAAAGTCTTTAGAGCAAAATCATTGATCATTGTATAGAACACAATCGGCATGTTTCTAAAATATTTTTTATTACCAGGGGCGTGCTGTATTCCAGTGGCGTATCAAACTTGCATTTTTTTAAATGAAACCGCATATTTCATTACTGGTTTGGAGAGTACTTGAAAAGTACATATTTTTTATATAACATGTTATACTCCTAACTTTAACAATTTCGCTGTTATAACCTTTTTTCATCAAAATTTGACAGTTTTTCGGAATCGCACTAAATCGCACAGGCGGCTAATTTTTGGATTGAGGCACAGGTTAAGACCTCTTCCACAATCACATAATTTTTTTAGGTACTTGATTGAAAAAATAAAATGTTTGATTGACCTTCACCAAATGTCATATTTAAAAAAAATTTTAAATGGTACCCCCTAAACAAATTATACCTCTGGGTTCCAAACACAAGCAGAATTGGTTCATATGTTGTTTATTCTTGGAGACTGTTACCGGAATTGTTTGTTGACGTCACAAGAGTACGCTGGGAGATATCTTGGCAGAACACATCCAGATGCACACGTGTTTCAAAAGATGTTGGATAAATTTATAACTACTGGGAGTACTAATTTCACCCACACTAATATGGCGATTATCAACAGCTGCCCTGAGAACTTGCAATTCATGATCTTCCGCCAAAACCGGCGTCCGTTTAATTCTCCTTCGTCGTTTTACACTCCTTGAACATCTTTTGTTTTATCATGGCACACATGGGTTCGGAAAAGAACAGTTTTTTTACAAATTGGTGTTTTCACTTGGTTTTTTTCTGAAATTTTCTTATGGAATGTGTGGTTTTGTTTATATCAGTGGAAAATTTGTAGCTTTGGCTCCCCAGAGGTATAATTTAATTAGGGGAGTGCCTTCTGAAATTTTTAAAAAATATATGACGGTGAAGGTCAATCAAAAATTTTATTTTTTCGATAAAGTACATAAAAAAAATTATGTGATTGTGGAAGAGGTCTTTACCTGTGCCTCAATCCAAAAATTACCCGCCTACATGATTTAGTTTCTCTTAAAATACATTCCGAAAAGCTGTCAAATTTTGCCGAGAAAAGATTATAAATGACGACCTAGATGCTTAAAATGCTGCCCATCATTTTCAATGCACTTTGGAAGTCTCTGCCCAGTAAATAGAACGCGGTAGTTTCATTTTCGGCCCTTGAAGATCTTTTGTGAATGGATTCTTCTCTTATTCTATAAAAAAAACTAGTTATATATTTATTTAATTTATTATTATAACATATTTTTGTTACTAGACAACAACTACTGAAAGTTTTTTATGTGTTGTTGCCAGGGCCGCCGAGAAGGGGGGTCAGCCGGGGCATTTGCCCCGAGGCCCGGTCATATTCTGGGGGCCCGGCCACAAGAGATTTTGAATTGAAACCTGAATTGTATTTTTTAACAGAAATCTGCATATGCATATGTATCTCTATAGAAGATTTAAAAAACCATATCTACCATTGAGCAAAATTTCCTAATTACGGCACAGTAGCAGAAAGCTCGCTAGGTAAAAAACTGTTTGAGATCGACTATGGGTCAAGATCGTTAGATCAATCTCGGTACATTAGCTCTTGAAGCTCAATTTGCTAGAAAAATTTATTTTGAGCGAGTGATTGCTAATAAGAAAATCCGCAGAGTTTCATTGTAATTTGGTTATTTGAATAATAAATTATGAAAATGACTGTGTCTGTATGAAAATTATTCAAATGTTCTCCTTTCAAATCTAAGTAATCAAGATTGAAAATGTCTAGTTTAAGATAAGGGTGATGGACAACAAAAATTTCAATTATAGGGGCCCGGTCAAAAAATATTCCCGGAGCCCGTCGAGGCTAACGGCTTGTTGCTACAAGAGCTGTTGTAATTCTTTCCTCCATGTTTGCCTGGTTGCAAAAACAAGGTCTGTGATACTTCTCCACAAATAAAAATTTAAAAAACCAAAACCAAACTATTCCACAAAACTTTGCGTTTAATAGGCAAATTTCGAACTTGGAGCACTAAATATGATAAAAGTGAAGACAAACATTCACAAGTAACGAATATTTTTAGTAGGACAACTAATTAACTTAGAAAAAATCAATTGGATTCAGTGCATATTGTAATTACCTCCACTCTTTAGAACACTCAATAATTCAAAGGTGTTAATACGTTCCTCACGTATTTTAATCTCTTCCATCATTTCACATAATTAGCCATAATGAATACCTTCCAGCAGTTAATCTCTACATCAATACCCCTAATTAGTATCGTTGTCCGTTGCTTATAATCATCCATCATTTTTTAAGTTTCTAATATGAGTACTACACCAGTAGTGTACTTAGTTAATTTTCAAGTATGCAGCTGGGTTTCTTGTTATTCGTCTTACTTCTGATATCAAAAACGTGGTGTTCTCTTCAACCGCTTCCAGATGAACTATCTACTCGTCTGTCGCTAGCTCAGTGCATCGCAAAAGCAGGTACAATTTTTATACCCGTTGGCGAAATTATATTGGTATCGTTACCGATTAGACAAGTCGGTGAGAATGAGCCATCCGCGGTCATGTTAAATCAACTTTTGTTTAACACTTTGTTCAGTTTGTGCTATTGGCCTCTAATTGTAATTAAACCGAGTAACAAACGCATAGACGAAAGTTACCAAGTAAATATTCAAAACTATATCGTGCAAGTTAGACAAATAACCGAATTGAACCATAGTTTGCAGAAGTTAGAAAAGTATTCCTCCTGGAATCCTCACGCAAAATTTATGGTGGTATCTGTAACTGTCTTCGAGGATAACATGGTGGCAGCTTCAAAGTTTGTGGAACAATTGTGGGCTCATAAAGTGGCCAACGGCATTATTTTACTTCCGAGTGCGGATGACACAACCGTTTTTGAGACTTACTCGTGGTTCCCATTTGATGACGGTAACTGTGGGCAGAATTTTAGTAAATTACGCATCGTAGATCGTTGCCGTTTTGGAAAGATGACGAATGGAAATGGTTGGTTTTCAAACAAAATACCTCACAATCTTAATGGGTGCCCCATTTATATCCGTACAGTCGTTTGGCCACCGTACGTGTTGCCCCCTGATCCAAACGTCGTGGACGAGTATAGATTTTCGGATGGTTTGGAAATTTTATTAGTTAATACAATGGCGGAAGTCGCACATTTTCGCGTCGTGTACACTACGTCGGAGGACATTCAAGATTGGGGCCAAATATTTTTAAACGGTAGCGCTACAGGTTTAATGTTACACATGAAAAATGAAGAATCTGACATAGGCATTGGTGCTATCGCGGCATCAAAAGAAGCTAATCGTTACTTTGATGCGGTGACGTATCCTATTCCAGAATCACTAAAGTGGTGTGTCGCAAAAGCGAAGCTGATACCATCTTGGAAGTACTTTTTCAACGTAATTCAACCAGAAACTTATCTTTGCGTCATTTTCGCTTTCTTCGCAGTCTCAATCTGTATGTGGAGGCTCAGTAGATACCGACCTGGAGAATCCACCTCATACAAAAGCTTTCAAAGTTGCGCCCAAAATATGTTTGGCGCTATGCTTAATGTACCGATCAAGATTGTACCACGAACAAATTTTCTACGTGCCATGTTCTTAGTGTGGATTTTTTTCACTTTGCACATCAATGTAGCTTACCAAACATTTTTGATGAGTGTTTTCTCGCATCCGCAATACGAGCATCAGCTTAACACGGTTGAAGAGCTATTCAATAATAACCTCAGCTTATGGTGTTTACCTACGTATAAACAATTTTTTAACAACAAAGACTGGGTTACTCTCAATGTGATGCGTCAATGGAAAGATTGCACGGATATAAATAAGTGCCTACACTTCACTGCTTACGAACAAACTGCAGCAACATGCACCCCACGTTTATACCTAAAGTACATTTCCAACTTGTACGTCGACAAAGATCATAATTCACTTCTGCACTGCTTCGAGAATAGTATAGCAACTTTTCCGTTACAAATGTTGATGAGGAAAGGTTTTCCATTTCACAGATATTTCTCAAAGTTAGTCGGATGGATTTCCGCTGCTGGATTTACCGCACATTGGGAAAAGAAAATTTTTCAGTACATCGAAGAAGAGGATTTAAGCGATCTCCAAGAGGACAGTCGGGCACTTTTCACAATAGAAATAAATCACCTAATACTTTTATTTGTTATGCTGGGTGTAAGTTATGTTGTTGGATTGATAGTTTTGCTTCTGGAAATCTACTATGATAAGAAAAAAATTTCGCAATTGCCATATTTGAAATAGAAGCTTTATAATTAGTTACCTGATGTACTTAGTAATAAGTGAAAAATTGTGTGGAATAAAGAGTTCATTCATTTCTTGGCCTTGAGCACAATCGCTTAAGAAGTCGGTATTGTTAGTGCGGTGAAAATTTAGGGAAGCCCGAAGCATCTTGCTAGAGTTGAATCCAGAACCATTTCTAGGAAAGTATTATGTGGTGGTATGGGTCAAGCAGAAAATTTCTATCTAAGTTTTCCCAATCTACAAAAGATTTGGAAAACTCTTAGTATTTAAAGAAAATTATTATTACTAAAAATGAGCTTTTAAAAAAACAAAAAATGCATGGTGTCTGTAGACTCTGTACAAATGGAATAAATGGTTTTTGGAAGCTTGGTTCTTATTCGTGAAACGCCAAAAATTGAAAGTTTCAACGTGAAATAACAAAACAAGTTAAAAAGTAATCGTAAACGATTTACATAAAGCGCATTTCCACTTGCATTCATTTCCTATTTGTAAGATGCAACTTTTGTTAAAATTGTAAAAATCCGGCCACAAATATGAAAGATAGCGTTGCACATGTGCAATCCATTTTTGACGGGCTACTTCAATTTCAGTTTATAAGAAGAGTTTCATTTCAATGCTTTTCTAAATAAGAAAGTTGGAACTGCGCATGCGCAAACCTAAATGTTGAAACTAATGTTAGATTTTCCTTTGTTCCAAGCGCCAAAGTATCAAATTTCACTTAAATGCTTCCATAGATAAAAAAGTTGGCACTGCGCATGGGCAAAATAAAATTTTGAAACTGACGTTAAATTTGCTTTTATTCCAAGTGGCTATGTATCAAATTTCATTTAAATCCCTCCATAAATAAGAAAGTTGGCACTGCGCATGCGCAAAACCAAATTTTGAAATTTGCGTTAAATTTGCTTTTATTCCAAGTGGCTATGTATCATATTTCATTTAAATACTTTTATAATTAAAACAGTTTGCAATTCGGTTTAAAAATGGTCGAGATGCGAAAAGGGCAATGTGAATTTTGAATCGATTCGACTCAACTTTTGGCATTGCGTATTATATGGCTAAGGCTATGCCCATATTGAATTTCATGCAATTCAGTTCATAACTAACGGAGATGTAAAAGCGATCGGACATTTCTAAGTAAAGTTATCGTTCACACGGACGCACAGACAAACGAACAGACGGACAGACCAACAGGCAGACGACAGACAGCAATGCAAAATTATAAACGATCTCTAGGATCGTTAATAAACGGCAAAAGTGTAAAATTATGGAACATGTAAAAAACGGTTTTTTTGTTTTTTTTTACAATAACTTTTTTTGTAAGCGGTACAGAAAAAATTCCTTCCTTGGTACAAGACTCGACACCATAACGAACCAAATAGCGAAAAAACTGGAACAATAGCTCTTAACATAAAAAACTAGTAGCGTCTCAAAACGAGCGGACGGACGGACGGACAAAGTAGCCACCAGTGGCGCACCCAGAAAACAAATTCGGTGGGGGTTATTGAAATTAGTAAATCCAAAATGTTAACATAAATTATATTTTTAAAAAACCAAAGATTACACAGTTACACTTACACTTTGTCCGAAAAAAAACAAAACAGAACATAAAAGAAATTATTTATGACTAAAAATATTAAGTTAAACTAAGTTTTAATTTTCTAGGTTTCTGTGCGAATTTCTCTAAAATATTTTCCACAGAAGGGGTCATGTTTCTATAAATGTTTAGAAGAGTTAAGCCATTTAGTCGGTTTTCGAAAGAACTATTTCTTAAATAATTGTTGAGTCTTCTCAAAGTTGAACCAGACGCCATACATATTTAGATATAGTTATTTTCCTAACAAGTGCGCGAAGTTAGTGATTCCGAACCGAACGCGAGTTTTGGTACCTGCTTGAGGTTCGGAATCACCTTCGCGCGCATGTTAGGAACAACGTTTTTCCTACGATCGTCTAATTATTTTAATTAGTTTAGTTTTCTCACAGGATTTGTCAAGATTTGAAACTGATAATTTATTATGAGAATCAAGTTGTATGGTTGCTATGGATTAAACATGCAAATTTTAGTGTGCGAATTGATCATTTTGTGCATGCGGTTTGCGTGCGGGAATGATTAATTCATAAACGATTGTAAAAAAAGATTATTTTAAAAAAATCTATCAGTGCTTAATTTCGGGGGGGGGGGGTTAACTCCGAAAACCCCCCCTATGGGTGCGCCACTGGTGGTCACAATAGCGCTAAAAAATTATAGAGCCTTTTTGGAAGCGTTTCAAAATAATTTTTAAATAAAAGTAAGTATATGTTTATGACCCATCGCCCATCCCAATTGAAAATAATCGTTACCATTTTTCCAATTCGTGTTATTTATACACTTGTAATGCGTTCTAGAAGTTTGATCAGTTTAATTTGCTTAGTTTTGAAAAAAATTGAGCTTGAAGTAAAAAGAGAGCACTTTTGCAATTTTTTAAATTTCAATTTTTCAACAACTCAAAAACTATTAATGATTGTGGTACAAAATTGTAGGGTTTTTCTGTAGTTTGAGTCAAGTATGACCTCTTTTAAAGTTTTTCTAATCACATTTTTTTTGCATATATCAAGAACACGTATGGAGCCTTGATGGAGAAGAGGCGGACATGGAAATAAGGGATATCTAGGAAACTCATAGAAATAAAACTTTGATTTTCTCCATTTTTAATTGCAATGTTGCTTAAGGGTTGAATGCATTCCATTTTAAATAATGAAAAGGTTGGTGGTTTTTAGGGGTTGAAAATGCTCAATTTCATTATAATTTTTAAATTATGCCTCATATATACAATGACCATTGATGCTTATTTATTTAAAGAAGCTTAAATCTGCAATAATTGCAAACAGGGGGGGTTTCTCCCCTGAAAAATAGTAAGCAATCAATGGCACAGGCTGATATTTGAGGTATGGTAATTAGAACGTAATCCAAATCTTCATGCAAATCACAATCACTCCAAAGTTGCTAAAGAACATTTTTAAATTATAACTATTCTAGGGATGTTTAATAAATAATAAATTAATGTCCCGGTTCACTCAACTTTTTGAACCGCTTGTATAATCTACAATTTGAAAATTAGTCTTGAATAGTATAGTGGTAGCAACACCAGGTCCACTTTGAAGTAGAGGGTAGGCGCACACCCTAAATGAAAATGTTTCACAAAATTATACAGTACCGCCGCCATATTTTACCTTCAATGGCTTTCTTTGGAGAAACAATTTTCATTCTAGAACAATTTCAAAAAAAGTTTCGAAGCCCAAGGATTGTTTTTTTTGTAAAAGATTCATCAACAAAGAGCGTAGTGTCTAAACTCCTCAATTCTTCCTCATAAACATACACCTATTAAAGTGAAGAAGAAATAAAAAGAATAAGACGTAGACTCTTTCAGTTAAAGAAGGAATTCGAGTCAAGATGGGGCAGGGGAAGAGTAGGTAGTTTCTTCGCTAGCAGATTACATCAAATAGACCTCTCAAATAGTAGCAACAGGTCAATTGTCACGGTTGAGTATAGGTGCTCTACCAGTTTGGGCATCATAAGTTTTCCAAGTGTGTAGTGACTTGGGTTGACTAGTAGGGTTGGTAAAATCCCCGCCCACTTAAAAAGAGGCGTATGTAAAAACGTCTTCTACACTCAGATCGTCACCTGTTTTACCATGTACCTAGCCTAACCTCAATTCAGCTTTTTTTTTTGTAAGCGTTTCGTTTTAATGTTTAAGATCCGCCACTGATTATTACTAAATACATAAAATACGCAATCACACTGTCCTTAATTGAACCCATCATCACACTACTGATGATTACTTTCTAATAATCATATTGCTAAGTGTAACCCTAATTAAAAACATGCAGAACATAGCAGCAACAAACAGAAGGGCCCAAGTTTTACTACGAATTTTGCAAAATAATAGATCCAAAATTAGGAATGTGAGGTTAACCGCAATTAGAACAAATTCAACAGTAACCATTGGCGGCGTTACCAAAGTAGTACAAGTACCAAACAATCCGGAATATGTACCAAAAAATTATTGTAAGTATACCATTCACATTTTCCTACTGTATTAACTCAGGCGTGTTCTTTTATTAATGAATTAGCTCATGGAAACTTGTCCTTCATGAGAAGAAAGATGGGTTGCACTGTAAAGTGATTAATAAACAAACACGCCTCCTATAAATTGGGCATACATGATTGGTACATTCAAATTTTTCCCTCAGTCAAAGAAATGGACAACCAAAGCACACTACACAACTTACGATGGATGCTACAGAAGGATTTGCTCGCTCAGGACATATTTCTCATCGGTGCCCCGGGACCTAAACGTAGACACCTAGCAATGCAGTACTTGGAATTAACAAACAGGGAGGTGGAGTACGTTGCGTTAAGCAGAGATACCACCGAATCGGATTTGAAGCAGAGAAGAGAAATTGTCAAGGGCAGTTCAACATATTTCGATCAGGTGAGTTTGACATAATTTGTAATAATGTTAATGAAGGTTTTGACAGAGTGCAGTTAGGGCAGCTATCAAGGGTAGAGTATTAGTAATTGAGGGTATTGAGAAAGCCGAACGCAATGTTTTGCCGGTGCTAAATAACTTGTTGGAGAATAGGGAGATGCAGTTAGAAGATGGGCGGATGTTGATTGATGCTAAGAGATATGACCAGTTGTTACAGGTACCACTAGATTTTTATGCGAAAATATGCAGACACAGGACAAAATATGCACCAAGTCATTTTAAAACACAGATTGTTACAACATGCATTTATTGCACCTTCAAATTCGCATTAGTTTAACATGTGCATATCTTTGCATAGAAATCCTATCCCCACTACTACTACTAAATGCGCTTTTTTTTAATATGTACGTTTATTGCAGTCCTATAGTAAGGATGAGCTAGATAAAAGGAAGTTAGTGCGAGTCGACGAACATTTTCGTGTCATTGCATTAGGATTACCTGTGCCAAAGTGAGAAACAGGAGTTACAGATGTTTTAATTATTATATTATGATTTTTAGATACATTGGTAATCCTATGGATCCTCCTTTGCGTTCTAGATTCCAAGCGCGTGACATTAGCAGCAGCAGTTATCAGGTTAGTTTTGTTAACTTTGATATGTTTAGCGAATAATAATAATAATAATATAGCGGTTGTTTCTCAAAAGCGATTCCTCTCTACAGGGTGGTGACTTGCGTAACGCATCATAGGGATTTCAATGTAAAATTCATAACATGCGATTATTGGCTCCCCAAATTATTTTAGAGCAAAAATGTATTAAGGTTTTTTGTAGAAATAAAATTTTTACGTCAATCAACCGTATTAGTTTTCAATTTTTTGCATAATAAAGACGGAAATTGGAAAAATAAAACTCCCATCTTTTTCAATAATCTGTGATGCCATGGAATTTTATAATACAAAAACTACGCCAATATCCGTCATGATGCCATGGAATGTCTGCTATGAAACAAATCAATTTCTATCAAAAAGTATTATATTTAGAACAGCGAATTCAATATAAAGAAAGACCAAATTACTAAAAACGGTTTCCTAATATAACAATTTACAATAAATGTTCGAATAAGTCACCATTAATTGATAACTGGATATCTTTTTGTTTTAGAAAATTTCATGGCATCGCAGATTATTGAAAAAGATGGGGGTTTTATTTTTCCAATTTTCCGTCTTTATTATGCAAAAAATTGAAAACTAATACGGTTGATTGACGTAAAAAAATTTTTCCTACAAAAAACCTTAATGCTTTTTTGCTCTAAAATAATTTGGGGAGCAAATAATCGCATGTTATAAATTTTACATTGAAATCCATATGATGCGTTACGCAAGTCACCACCCTGTATATTTATATTTTTTTTGATAAGTAAAGATGTTTACTTGGCAACCATGTGTGTGCTATGTTAACATGTAGGTAGTAAAAGACTTGTTCAGTTGTTTTTTGTGCTTTGGTTTCATCCTGTAGAAAAGCGCACCAAACGGCGAGATGCCATGGCCTCTTCAGGAATATACAAACTCCTTATGCAAAATCCCCAAAAACTGCCGATTCCTGTTTTTATATAATACAAAAATTCAAAGGGACTTGCTTCTATCTATGCGTTGAATTTTTTTCAATTGTCAGACGGATTTCGCCTTTGAAAGGCAGCAGAAATTTATAAAATTCGATAGTGGAAGGTCTTAGGCAATACAAATGAATCTCCGTATTTGCAGTTGAATTGGATTGCTGGTTGAAAATTGATTTAGAAACATGGTTGACATAATTTAATTAAGGAATAAACTGTGCTACAGGCTTGCGAAATCCCCAGTAATAAATTACGCATGTAACTTAGGGTTTTAACAGCAAACAGAAGGTTGAATTAATTGTCATTAACCTTTTTACCGGTAGCCGTTTTGTTCATAAATTTGTTACACTTGTTATAAACAAATTTTATGCACCAACTTTTATTAATAAATGTTTTTTTTTACGTAACTTGCCACTACAAATAGCACGCAATGGAATGTTCTTTCCAAACGCTTTCGTAGTAACAATTTTTTTAAACGCGAAACACCTGAATCCAATTATGCACCGAAACGAGAAAAGGTTCGATCCCTTATTAATACGACAACGCTTCGCAAAATTCACTTTATAAAATTATAGTAACCGTCCGATTGTCTCTTTTACACCATGAAGTTCTCTTTCATCAGCGTACTATTAATTTACTTCTACTGGCAACTCGTAGCGAATTTTAAAGGCACCCACGATCGTTAAATTTTTTTTAAGTGGAGGAATTGTCTCCGTTTGTGAGTCGGGCTTTCTGTTTGAACTTTTAATTAATAATCTCGCGTTGATAATAAGTAGTGTAGCTGGGTACGTACGGTATCAGGAAGTGACGTCAGACTAATCAGGAGCTAGTATTTGGGTCCCGTGACTGTAGACGTCCAATGAGAGACGAGTAATGGCTGCCGTCGGTCATTTTGTGGTTTACTGGTTGCCGTCGGCCATTTTGTGTTTTACGAGTAGATAAATGAATGAGGTGACCTCTTTGGTGGTATGTTGGAATGATCGAGTTGTATTGCAGTGGTTTTATGGGCAACATTTTTTAATGGGATCTTGTGATGGTGTGGAAGCACTAGATGGCGAAGGGTAGGAGGGGAAGAAAAGAAAAGGTGCCTGTAACTGGCCGTCTAGCGGTACAGATCAGGATTTGAACGGAGCTTTAAACGCTAGTTGGTCTAGTAGTTAACGGAGTTAACCACTAGACCAACTAGCGCTTACTTTGAGGAAAAATAAAAAACGGTAACAAAGAGTTTGTTTATTTATTTTCTACTAGACCAAATGCGCTTACTTTGAGGAAGATTAAAAAAGGTAGCAAATAGTTCGTTTATTCACCTTGAATGCAATATTTGCAATATATCATAAGCGGAGCTGGTCCATCAATATGGATACGTTGCCACGGTTGATTCCAGTGTTTAGTACAACGAATTCGATTACATATTTCGCTATCATTTTGATATATAATGGGTATCTTGGTCCATATCTGCATTAGTTCGTTAACGTTTAGTTGCAGTAATGCATTCCTCGTTTCATTAAAGTTCTTTTCTTTTTTCGCTTCGAATTGTTGTATACTTTCAAGTATTCGATTCATTTTAATCTAGAAAATTCTATAATTACCATATCGATGTAAAAATGTAAACTCACCACTCAATCACCGCGCACAGTTGCATGTAAATGAATTGTAATCAGTATCCGCTTTAGTCTTTTGCGGTTGAAGTTATTTTTAAATGTTAAAGATTACGGTGTTTGCCTTTGCACTTTTTTCGCATTCTTGCTAAATTGCAATTATTTATTTTAGCATTTTTGCAAACTTTATCGCATTTTGCGAAAAAAGCGAGCGTAGCTTAAACGCTGATTACCACAGACGATGCTGATAAAGTTATTTTTCAGGAGAAAATTCTAGTATAAATAACAAGGAATCTTCATTTTTAGAAGTAGTTAATATCTAAACAACAAATTGGTAAGTAATTCTTATATAAGTAATGTTACTAAATTAATTTGTGAAATATTATCACTATTTTTGTAGCATTAAATGATAAAAATTCTCAATGTGGTATGGAACATCCGCAAATAAAAAAAAACACATGATAAAAAATTACATACTTTATTGCAACGTGATGAAAAATGTCTGGTACAAAACGCTGTTACGAGTGCCAAAAGTATTTTTGTTTTTGTAAAAAATCTATTGAAATGCATCCTATAAGAAGCAATAGTGATGATTTGTTATGTTATGAAGAATTAGCACTATCACCACTTCCGAAAATGGTAAAATATAGAAAAACAGGTAAACCAATATTATCAATTCATGAATATCAGGAAATCCAATTACCACCAGTGTTTAAGCTGGAATAAAATTTTGTTTAGCAAAAATGCTAAAATAGCGACTCTTTTATACTGATTATAAGACATGCGCGTTATACGCACCTATACAGTGTGTCCCAAATCGGGTGGGATTGCATGGGTAACTTTGTTATTATTAAAGATAGAGAATTGGTTAAATGGGCAATGTTTTGCAGTTTTGGATGCGTATTTAAAATTTCCTTATGGAAATTCAAAATGTCGCATAGGTTCGACGTAAATTCAAAAAAACTAAAATTGCGGTCATTTCCTTGAATGCCTTATATCATCGAAAGTATAAGAGATATAAAAAAAAGTTTTATATAAAAGTGACTGTCTTTGATCCGCTTAATTTAGAATTGATGTCAAAAAAAATTCAAGATGGCCACTTTTGAGGAACATTTACCAACTTCCTAAAGTTAAATGGGCGCCATATTGGATTTTTAGATTACTTGATAGATTTTTTAATTCTCTTTTCAACGAGCCATCATAACATAAGATTGAAAATAAGATACCAGTTATATTAACGGTTTTTGTATTTTAATCAAGTAGTCTGTGACGAATAAAAAAAACAAAACAAAATCTATTCGGGGCAACAAAACAATGAAAACAATTACACCAGATGTTTAAAATACTGGCCATTATTAGTGAAACACACTTCAAGACAGTTTAGTTTAGGCAACGTGTTGCCATTGATGATTATTATTATTATTGTAGTGGTAGCTACTTCCACTTTACTTTTATTTTTTAATTAAGTACTTACTTTTATAATTTAATGTACTGTACATAATTCGTGAATTGTGACCTGAGCAGCCAGTTTGTTGGTAGATAGCATAAACTAACCCTTCCTTTATTGGAAAATTTGTAAATAATGGTGAGCAGTTAAAGATCCATCGAAGATTACCGGTCCAATTACATGACTTCCCATTATGCCCTAAAATACATTGATTTAAAAAAATATTACTTACTTGATTTCGGCGTGAAACTACAACATGTAGGTTTTCCTGTGACGAGTAGTTTTCATAATGTCGATTTGAACACTTCACAGTTAGAAAAATAAGATTCATCTGTCCATATACTCGAACTGGTAAAACTGTTAGTTTCGATATTCTTGCGGATAAACCACCTACAAAATGTGACCTGGGACAATGCATCAATGGTAATACATTGTGTAAAGTAAATTGAAGTGTCTTGAAATGTCTTTAACTGGATAATGGCATGACTTTTTTCGAGGGGATAGTTTGTAGTTATACCACCATTTGTAGGTATGTAAGTATGAATAATAAGTCAATAAGTGATGTTATAAAAATCAAATTTTTCTAGACCTAATGCTTATATAAAATTTTGGAGGGAGTTGTAATGCCCAAACCCCCCCTCTCATGAGTGCGTCCCTGATTTTTTTTAAACATCTGATGTAATTATTTTCATTGTTTTGTTGTCTCGAATAGATTTTGTTTTTTTTTTTTTTTATTCGTCACAGACTACTTGATTAAAATACAAAAACTATTGATATAACTGGTATCTTATTTTCAATCTTATGTTATGATGGCTCGTTGAAAAGAGAATTAAAAAATCTATCAAGTAATCTAAAAATCCCATATGGCGCCTATTTAACTTTAGCAAGTTGTTAAATGTTCCTCAAAAGTAGCCATCTTGAATTTTTTGTTGACATCAATTCTAAATTAAACGCATCAAAGACAGTAACTTTTATATAAAACTTTTCTTTATATCTCTTATACTTTCCATGATATAAGACATTCAAGGAAATGACCAATTTTAGTTTTTTTGAATTTACGTCGAACCTATACGACATTTTGAATTTCCAAAAGGAAATTTTAAATAAGCATCTAAAACTGCAAAACATTGCCCATTTAACCAATTCTCTATCCTTAAGAATAACAAAGTTACCCATGCAATCCCACCCGATCTGGGACACACTGTGTACGCAGCCTTATTTATGTTTTTCGTGTGTATGCGACTTTAATTGCTCGCTGCGGTTACTCGCTTTTCCTGTTATCTAAAAGACTAAAGCGGATACTGATTACAATTCATTTACATGCAACTGTGCGCGGTGATTGAGTGGTGAGTTTACATTTTTACATCGATATGGTAATTATAGAATTTTCTAGATTAAAATGAATCAAATACTTGAAAGTATACAATTCGAAGCGAAAAAAGAAAAGAACTTTAATGAAACGAGGAATGCATTACTGCAACTAAACGTTAACGAACTAATGCAGATATGGACCAAGATACCCATTATATATCAAAATGATAGCGAAATATGTAATCGAATTCGTTGTACTAAACACTGGAATCAACCGTGGCAACGTATCCTATTGATGGACCAGCTCCGCTTATGATATATTGCAAATATTGCATTCAAGGTGAATAAACAAACTCTTTGTTACCGTTTTTTATTCTTCCTCAAAGTAAGCGCTAGTTGGTCTAGAATAAACAAACTCTTTGTTACCGTTTTTTATTCTTCCTCAAAGTAAGCGCTAGTTGGTCTAGTGGTCAACTCCGTTAACTACTAGACCAACTAGCGTTTTAAGCTCCGTTCAAATCCTGATCTGTACCGCTAGACGGCCAGTTACAGGCACCTTTTTTTTTCTTCCCTTCCTACCCTTCGCCATCTAGTGCTACCACACCCTCACAAGCAAAGGCTCCCACTCAAGATCCCATTAAGAAATGTTGCCCATAAAACCACTGCAATACAACTCGATCATTCCAACATACCACCAAAGAGGTCACCTCATTCATTTATCTACTCGTAAACCACAAAATGGCCGACGGCAACCAGTAAACCACAAAATGGCTGACGGCAGCCATCACTCGTCTCTCATTGGACGTCTACAGTCACGGGACCCAAATACTAGCTCCTGATTAGTCTGACGTCACTTCCTGATACCGTACGTATCCAGCTACACTACTATAATATGTAGCTTTGCATCGAAAGTTCGGTTAAAAATCAATACGCTATCGAAAAAAGTAGCTCTCCCACCAGATTTTTGCTTACGTATGCGCGGAATGGCAGTTTTGAAACGGAACCACCGCATCCAACGCGTTTTTGATATGAGGATTACGTATAAAAATTTAAGTGAAATGTAAAATGCCAAAATGCCAAGTTAAATTTTTTAAAAAGAAGGGGGGGGGGGGGGTGAACACGTTCTACTCTTCATGGTATTCTAATCAAAGGTCTCACCGAAATGAATTGGTTTGTACAAACTATAACTTTCCTGCGCGACTCCTTTCCGAGATCAGTAGGGGGGCGGAGAGGGAGGGGATAGAAATTAATCTTATCTTTCATGGTATTTCAATGAAAGGTCTCAACAAAAGGAATTGTTTTCTAGTAACTATACTGCCCTACTCTCTGACTGCTTATCACAAGATGGGTTTGGAGGGGGGGGGCTGGTTTTATCCTTCATGGTACTCTAATGAAAGGTCTCAACGATAGGAATTAATTTTTACCAACCATAGCCTGCTCCTCGTCTCCTTATCGTGATCGGATATAATTCCTTTTATTTCAAGAACAGATTGTCGGAGGATGGTATTCACAAAGGGCGATTGGGACGTCTGGAAGAAATATATCTATTGGTAATGTCAAAATTCCACGAGCCCACAAAGGCAAAATGAATTGTCTGGACGAAACATATCTATTGGTGAAGTCTCCCCATTAATAATTTAACAAGAAAGAAAACATTTACGTACTAAGTCATTTCGGTTTGCGCTTTATCTACACAAGATTTGCGCATAATTTATACTTTGTTTATTTTTTTTCTGGGTATCTATATCAAACTTTTGGTAATTAGACGGGCTGGACCATGAATGAAGTATATAATAGAGTATACAGTTTGAGCGTCAATATTTTGAGTCAGATTCGTCAAAAATGAAACGGAGTGATAGGAATTCGTGTAATTCTCAACGCATTGGCGTAAAAATGTGAAAAAAAACTGCGCAGATTTGCGACACGGCATGGAAAATCTGTTCTGCGGTTTGTTTGGTGGTAGGTTTCTTGCGTTGCGTTCACCTGGATCAGTCGTCGTGCCTGTCCCCTACAGTTGTATTCGATTGGAATATTCGCGTGTCGCACTGTCGTGAATTTAATTCCGCTATAAAAATATGTTAATAGAACATTTCAACCAGTTCGTATCCGGGTTGTGTTTGTAAGGGCGATGAGTGAAATATGCGGGGACAAGACTCGTTGGGAATCTAGTAGAAAGTCCTTATTTGTGAGAACCGTTTGGATTCGGGGTTGTCGGCATGTTATCCTATTCGACGAAGATCCGGCGGCCCAGCGTCTGAAGTCACGTGCGGGTTCAAGTATCAGCAAAAATAGTGCGCGAAAAATTTCGGATTCATTACCGTCTGTGAAACTTGTGTTGGCCGAAATTTCCAAGTACGAAAAGGAGACGTTACAAAAAAGGCTCAACTTGGAACTTAGAAAAACGCTCTCAATACACGTGATACCCAGCAATTTGAGGAACACGAATGTTGTAATTACCCCCAAAACACCCTCGAGCAATCCGTTTAACGCCTTCCAAGCTTCGCGCGTGTCATCGAGCTTTCACTCGGACGATTACAGGGAAATTAATGAAAGTGACTGTGTGAGGAGCGAGCATACTCATCAGCTAAATGAATATCGATTAAATTCGTTGAGCGACCGCGTGTTGTGTTGGCTAGATTTGGCGACACAAAGCGAGAAAACATGTCGATGTACCGATTTACTAACCGAAAAATTAAAAACTGACTACCGAGAAATGCTAAGTCAGAGATCAAAGCTAACCGCGAAATCATACTCGCTTAATAGGTCCCGTTCCTGCGATTACCAGGATAAGAAAATTATGGAAGAGTGGTCCAAGAAGAGGAGGCATTTCCTAAAAACGACCGATATGGGCCTTTCTTCTCTGAGCGTAAATACCATTCCTTTTCCTAGTGGAGATCTTCTGCGCGTCACTTCGTACAGTGAGGAATCCGCCCTACTATCCAAACTACCTCTAACAAAACAGCGTACCGAGATTCTAAAGAGACAATTACACGTTTTCATTCCAAATATTCCCAAGAGAAACGAGGATGCCAGTAGTATCAGCAGTAAAGGCAGCTCGATTATAAAACCTTCTTAATGTTTCACGCGAGAAACTAATTTTGTGAATCTATTAAAAGTATAAGTTGAGGTAATTTGAAGAAAATTTGAAACTTTTAAATGACTATTACAGCGAACTGCAATAATCGTAATAATACGGAAACGTATTGCGTGTTCACCTTCAATTAATCTTAACGCGTGTTCAGTTTAATTCTACCTACTGAGTACTCGTGAAGTAACTTTATCTACATATTCAATCTTCTCGAGAGACTTTGGTTTGGTGAATGTAGGTATTAAAGCAAGAAGTAGGTTAAAGGTGTAACATTTACATGCTACTAAAGGCTTGATTGATACAAATTAGATCAATCATTGTAGGTATAAGAACCAAAAGAATGTACAGACCGTTTTTTGTGTGTAAAGATTATTTGAATGAAAGGAAGTAAATTTATTCCACAAATTTGTATGGTGTATTCATTTCAAATTTGCTGTTGAATTCAAGCGGAGCTTCAACTGGCCAAGGCTTTTCTTTTTTGGAATTTAATCAACTGTCTCCTACGCTTCCGTCGCCAGCACACTATCATTGCAACGGGAGCCGCCACTCCAAGTACCGCCGCACCAATCTCCCCTACTTTCGTCCCGTGAACCCGATCCCGTACTACCTCCTCCTGCATCTCTGGTTCTATCGCAATTTCCAAAGCCTCCACCTCTCCACCCATCAACACCACCTATCGATACTGCATCCGAAACCGACGCACCCCTGCCATTACATGATCCCAATTATCCGGTCCCAGACCCGGCCCAAAACCCCATCCCTCTCCTGCGTTTTGACGCAAATTTACCCCCTCATCCCTATAGAAGAAATCATAGGCACCATTAACCACCCAAAAGTTACCCGCGCCTATAGGGCATAGTCTCCCGAACAACCAACCACCTAACTTCCTTTATCCGTATCTTCTGCGCCATTCAACTACCTCCTTTTCAACGGCGTCTTCCTGTTCGGAAAACACTACTCCTGCGAACCTCCACGCATCCCACCTCCCATGTCCCCGCTGTGGTCAAAACTACCGCGCCTCCCTCTGCGAATCGCAAGCAGTCCACAAATGCAACAATTGTGCCGGACCCCACCCTACCTACTCCTTCAAATGTAAACTCCTGCGAGAAGTTTCTGTTGTCACTTCCGAGATGACGCACCTTCAACCGCCTCCTCCACTCTCAAGTCATTATTCACTCCGTGGCAAATCTGTTTCCCGAAGGATGCTATGCGGTCAGGGCCGGATTTAGCATGGAGCCGTGTGGGCCCGAGCCCATAGTGGCAAGATTTTAGGGGCACCAAGAAACCACATTTGGGAAATAATTCTACAGTACTATCATGAAAAAATACCATAACCTCTTAAGAAATTGAAGTTGGAATGTTACGCACACTCTTACCAACTTAAAAGTAATCATGGAATAACATAACTTCACATTTCGACGAAATTATGTGAACTTTGTGGAAAATTTAGGGCTTCTTCCGCAATTTTTTGTTGAAAAATAAATTTCATAATCGTACCTGGGGGAGGGGGGGGGGCTTAATAACGTCACGTAACTGTTAGATTCTCTAAAACATGATTCAATGTTTACATTTACATGTTTGTATATTGAATTTCATTGTCTAAACTATTAAGCGAGATGTCAGAGCGATCGGACATTTCTAAACAAAGTAATCGTTCACACGGACAGACAAAGGAACAGAGGGACAGACCAACAGACAGACGACAGACAGCAATACAAAATTATAAACGATCTCTAGGATAGCTAATAAACGGCAAAAGTGTAAAATTATGGAACATGTAAAAAATGGTTTTTTGGATTTTCTACAATAACTTCTTTTGTATGCGGTACAGAAAAAATTCCTTCCTTGGTGCAAGCCTCGACACCATAACGAATCCAATACCGAAAAAAGTAGAACAATAGCTATTAAGACAAAGAACTAGTAGCGTCCCAACGGATGGCCAGACGGACGGACGGACGGACAAAGTGGCCACAATAGCACATTTTTTTTATTTTTGTGGAAATGCAAAAAAGGCCCCTGGTCTTGATGGGCTTCACAGCCTGATTCTGCGCCACGTACCCTCCCCGACGCTCTAATCCTCTATTCAATTATATAGGGTGACACTTTTAAAACTTTCAATGGGCGATATCGTTTTTTATATTAGAGGTATCACAAAATGGCCAAAACCGTTTCGGTAGAATCGAGGGGGAAGCAAAATGGTCGTATAAAGAAGGAACCAACTTCAACCTCGTACCCCCCGCCACCCCCATGCCTAAATTTTGAATTGTGACGTATCACTTGTGATACATCATTGGAAAGCTCTTAAAAAATGCTTTTCAGAAATACCCCACTGGTACATTTAAACTGCCCATTCACAATTTATTACACTAAAATTTGAACTCCGCAAATAAACAACTTTTATTTAATAAAATGTTCAAAATGTTCACCGTTTTGTTCTAAACAATACCATAAACGGTTTTCAAATTCATTTCTAACATTTTTAAACACTTCCCTGGAAAGTGAACGGCACTCCCTGACTATCCGGTAGCGAAGATCATTTATGGAAGCTGGTTCAGTTTTGTACACAACCGATTTTAAATGACCCAAAGAAAGAAATCCAATGGTGTCAGATCTGGAGATCGTGCTGGCCAATCTATAGGACCTCTTCGTCCTATCCACTGTCCCGGAAATTTCTCATCTAAAAATTCACAAACAGCCATAGAGTAATGAGGAGGAGCCCCATCTTGTTGAAAATGTATGAAATCTTCAATCAAATTCATGTTTCCGTCAATTGGATTTATTTGATTCTCTATTTCATGAGTGATGAGAGGCTCGACGGTAGGTATTTTGTAGCATGTTTAGGTAAGTATCTCCAGTTAAATTTCCTTCGATAAACAGAGGACCAATAATGCTATCACCTAAGATACCTGCCCAGACGTTAATTTTTTGGGGCCGTTGAGTATGCCCCTCGCGAAAAAGATGAGGATTTTTATCGTCCCAATACCGGCAGTTATGTTTGTTCACATTTCCATTTAAAAAGAATGTACATTCATCACTAAAACAAATGTTTTTCACCAGTTCCGGATTATTTTGAATATTCTCGGTCATTATTTCACAAAATTGGATTCTTCGATCGGAGTCGTCTTCGGTTAGTTCCTGTACAATCTGCATCTTATAAGGGTAGAATTTGTGCACCTTAAGAGTTCGTCGTACAGTTTCTCGCGAAAGTCCGGTCATAGTCGCTGCTTTTCGAATAGATGATGTTGGGTTTGCACCAAAATGACCTAAAACTTCAATCTGAGTAGCTTCATCCATTATTCTTGGTCCGTCTCTTTTCTTATTTTCCACTGACCCAGTTTCTTCAAATTTAGTCACTAACATTGCAACATAAGTGTGACTGACACGTCGTTCTGGGTGTCGGGCATTAAAAACAGCTGCTGTTCTAAATGCAGATCGCGCTTCAGAACCATAGATGAAAATAATTTCAACTCTTTCGGCTAACGTGTACACCATTATGAAATCTTTAGTTAAATTCAAAATTTGTAATTTTCTTGCCAAGAAATACTAAAAACGAGACTAAAATAATAATAACCGATCAACAAATAAAGCAATAGAAAATTATTATTTACTAAAAATTGCTGTCATTGTTTTTCCAAAGCATCACTAGATCTAAGAAATTTTTTTTTATTTCAAACACTGACAAATTCATCAAATACTCAAATTACTCATTTTTATTACATAAATTGTGAATGGGCAGTTTAAATGCACCAGTGTATGGTATTTCTGAAAAGCATTTTTTAAGAGCTTTCCAATGATGTATCACAAGTGATACGTCACAATTCAAAATTTAGGCATGGGGGTGGCGGGGGGTACGAGGTTGAAGTTGGTTCCTTCTTTATACGACCATTTTGCTTCCCCCTCGATTCTACCGAAACGGTTTTGGCCATTTTGTGATACCTCTAATATAAAAAACGATATCGCCCATTGAAAGTTTTAAAAGTGTCACCCTGTATAACCAGGGCCGCCTCTCACCTTGCACGGTTAATTTAATGCAGAATTACGCTATCGCTTATTTTTGTAGGAATTATTTGAATTACTTCAATTACTGGGACCAAATTTATCCAAAGAGAGCCTCGACCAAATACTCTCTGTTGCGATTGGATTAACAAGCAAAGAAAGTACAGCTCTCGGATTGCCAGATTTCCCGATAGATAATTTACACTTAATTGTTCGGATAATGGTAAGTATAAATTGGCTCCGTGAAATTTGTGCAAAGTGTATGTTTTAGAACAATCACCCAGATCTGTCCGTTTACAATGCCGTTTACCGTTTGTATCCTTACAACACCATTTCTAAGGATGCTGCAGCGGCAGTAGAAACCCTTCTGTCAAAATTCTCTATTGATCGATGTAAAGGTTCAAGTTATGTATCGAACATAGCAGGTAACATATCGAATTTATGGAAAAAACCAAAACCTGAGGTTTCTCGTGCTGATGGTTACATTGAAACTGATTATCAAAATAAGTTGGTCGAAGAAATGCTACAGACAATTAAGCTAACAGACTTATGCGTGATTGGTCCAAGAGGTTGTGGAAAAAATGTGCTCGTTTCAAAGGTGGCTGAGATTGTAGGAACCAAAATTGAATCAATCATGTTGTATCAAGATATTACGTCTAGAGATTTAATACAGCAACGTGCTACTCTTGATAATGGTGATACCATTTGGAGGTTCTCCCCGTTAGTCAATGCGATGATTGATGGAAAAATTGTAGTACTCGATGGAATACATAGGGTACATCCTAGTACAATTTCAGTACTTCATAGGTAAGATAATTATGCAAAGCGATCGAAAATGGTTTAAGAGGGCGCTGAAAAATCTGTTTTTTGTTTTTTTTCTGGAGTTGGATAAAAGTGAAATTTTATTGCGATATTACCAACTAGCAAACATTTCTGATCGCTCTGTTTTCTAGAGCACTTAAAGACTTAAATACCAATATCAGAGTTTTCTAAATTATTTACATAGGGCTTTGTAAATCACGGCCAATGTACATTATGGACATTTCTAGCACCTTATTGAGCATTTTTGATCAGTTCCAGAACTTTCTAGACCATTTTCAGTTTTATAATGCTCACATATTTTTTTCGGAATAAATTTGATTGAAATACTTTGAATTTTTGACCATACCTAGCTTATGAACTATAAGCAATTTTTGGATATTAACAAAGGCCGCGTTTTGGTTTTAACGTCTTTCAAAATTAACATTGTTTACCCATACCACAGATTTAAATTTACTACAGATGGATCATGAGATAGGCGACTGTGGAAACACAACAAACGTTCCAGTTGCTAGCGCACCTATATGAATTTTATTAAATCGAAAGTTTTAGTTTGGGTCTCAGCTTAAAATAATCAGCAGGAGTCTGTATAACGATGGCATAGAAGGTTTTTACTATTGATGGTGCTGAAAAGGAATATGATATAAATTTTTTCTTGGTAATTAAAACAATGGGTCTTTGTATTGTGTGTTTGTGTTCAATTACGACCTTGTGTGGGCGTATCTGTGGCCGTTCTCTCTCCTTTAATTTAAATTAATAAAATCCAAGAACAATTTTTTCTATAGAATGGTAGTTTCAGTTTCAGCCTGAATCGAAAGTTTTGATATGTCTATACGTTCATTCAAGGCATCGCCAAATGAAATTGAAACCAGGTGTAAAATTCTTGCAGAATAGCAAATACTCGAAAACTTCACTTGTTATCTGTTTGTTTATTTTAACTTAATTTTACTACCCGCATGTCAGTAAGGGAGGTATTGCAGTGGGTTAAAAAATGACCCCTCCCTTTTTTGACGGGAATACATCAAATACATGTTTTGAGGCACCAGGAATCCGAATCAAACAAAATCTCGATGATGTATACAGGGTGATTTATATCAAAGTTGTATTTTTTAAACAAGAACTCATCTATATTATAACATATTTCGATTACTTGGTCAATTTTAGTGTGACTTTATTTACACATGATATCTAAAATGAGTGGCTGAGCGTCATTTTTTCAAAAAATAGATGTCCAGTAAAAATTGAAAACGAAGTTTCCATAAAACTTAGAAGGTCATGACGCTGCAGTATTACCAAAGAGTAACCATAATAAGAGATTCAACGGCATAGAGAATAGTGTTGCATATGTATTGTGTGTTGCCTAACAAATTTTACTGCTTTTTCTCAATTTTATTGGCGTACGCTACGCCTAAGGGGCTATTTCAAGGCAACTACTTGTTTAGAAGTTTATAAATATCATTGCAGAAATCCCAGCGTTGCCAAATGTTTAGTGTTTGCTTGTACTTATTTAGGTATCTATTATTCCTTGAAATGTATGATGTTTAGAGATATGTTATTCCATTCTACGCTTATGGCACAATTTATTAAGGTCCGAACGCTTGTTGGTTTGATTCATAGGTGCGAAGATATGTTCTTCGTGTAACAATAAGCCGTTTTTTTAGCGGTAAATAATAGATTTTTTAGTGTGTATTGTGTATTCCCAGTAAGCGCGAGTAATAAGCTAGCTTTGATTACGTCTCTGCCCTTTGTACACACTGTTCGTCGCCCTACCGTCGACGGACGTATGGAAAAGTCGACCGAACTAGATCGTTTAGTTAGAGGAAGTAGTGTAACGATTCGAACGATATTTACTTCCGACTTGCGCGGAAATAAACGAACATTTTTTTAAAAAAAAAAGGCCAATAGACGTTTTATAGCATTTATTGTACAAATAATAAGATAATGAAAGATTCCCGGAAAAAATGTTGCAATCACTTTTTAATTTTTGCCGGCCAAACTATAAACAATATAATAAATCCAAAATAAACTGCCTCAATTGGATTATCGAATGGTTCAAATCAGTTAAATATGTGAACTGTGGACCAACGCAACCCCTGACGCAACCCCACCTCTTTAAAAATGGTTTCTTTGAGATAACTGAAAAACTACTTGACCGATTTGGACCATATTTTTTACCAGTCGATGTGACTAATGTCCCCTTTAATCTCATTACATTTCAGTCCGATCGACCCACGCATTCCGGAGATATTTAAACGCTCCAGAAACCCTATATTTGGAGTGGAAGCCAATGTTGTTTTCAAAAATGAGAACATACACTGCATTATCAATCGTTTAGATGCATAAATCACTAGCAGATTGCGGCAAATTTAAATACATATACTTATGTACTTTTTCCGCTACTAGCCAAGGGTGATTGAAAAACATGTGTACGACGCTTAGTTGCTAGGAGACCGATGCGCGCTAGTGCTGCAGCTTAAAATGCGGGTCGAGAGTATTTTTTTAATTGAATTGTTTAAATGAGAATAACGTGTAAATATTTCATTAAATTTATTCGACGGGTGCAGATTTATTAATTTATTATTTAACTGCACTATATATTTTGACTGATTATTATTGGATTAGACTGATGTTTTTTTTCCTGAGAACATAAGGATTATTGCATTGTAATGATTGATTGTTAATGATTAAACAATTCAGCGTATGTAGGCATCTATACAAAATTAAAGCAAACAAAATTTCCTGTAAAATAATCGCTATGCTCATCATAAAATCCAATTTTATGAAATATGTTGTCTACTTTAATTTGACTCTAGTAGACGATCTAAAAAGGATGGATAATAACAAATTTAATTTAAATTTTTACAATTGTACCTGTTATTGGTTATTAAATTAAATAGTAATTACTGTCTATTCAATAGACGCCAACTAAACAGGAAAATACCAATGTAATTAAGTATTAACAATAGGTACTGAATCGTTGCTGATTTCTTTTATACACTTAAGTAATGTTTTCTAATTATATTATGTCCACATTTTATACAGCCAATAAGAAAGAAAATTAAATGTGACAACCGCGCAAATATTTTAAACCGAAATTCTATAAAGAATTCTGTACATTTTCAATACGCGCCAATATTTAAAGAGGCGGTTAGTTCTGGCCACCTCTACGCGAGGGCCCGCTTTTGGAATCCTAGCGGGCGAGTTCTTATAGCCAACACGCGTTTATACCATTGCGCTGTATCTCTTATTATGGGTACTCTTTGGTATTACTAATCATCACGTGTGCTTACCTACATACGCCGAACGGTCAAAGTTAAACTTTTTTTGAGCTAAAAGAAATCACTGTCAATTTTCAAAATTTCAATCAAAGATAACTTGATTTTTTTTAATGAAATTACCAAGTTTTTTATTGCATCAAAAATATGGGATTTGATTACCTTTCTAACGATATAAGCACGCCGTATTTACCTTTTATACATATTTTTGTTAGAGACACCCTGTATATATTTTTTTGTAATAAAACCAAATTTGTGTAGGTTGAACCAAGAAAAATAATCTCTTTCAAATAACTAAATAAAAAATGTAGCGCTACTATGTATTTGAAAAAAAAGTTTATTTGTAATAAAACCTAGCATAATTTGGGTAGGTTGTACACAGAAAAAGAAAGTCTTCCGAATAATTTAATAAAAATTTTGCGTTACTGCTATTTAAAAAAAATAGTACGACGTTTACATCCTTTATGCCTAATCTGCCAACGTATGTACGTATACATAGGTACATACGAGTTAAAACAGACAGTAAAAATTTTTATTCTTTAAAAGTTGCTTAAAATGATCTAAAACGTTGACGTTTGATGAAATTTTGATACGTCCAAAAACGGTAATCGCAATATAGCCACCCCGCGCTTTTTGACGACCCATACGGATTTACTACTATCTCAAAATATATCGAAGTACTTTCTTCACTATTTTGTTCCGCATTATCATGCAGCCTTAGAAATTCATGACTATACCAAGAACAGAATGGTTCCACGTACATATCGTGGAAATTGTAACGTCTACTGCGGTACTTCCCCAATATAGGGTCTCAACTGGGATGCGTCATTTTCGATCTCACAGAAATTTGGTATCTGCGTCTCTTTAAGAGAAAAATAACGAAACCAAAATTGTTTTTGAAAATTCGAATTTTAACTGCAATTCTGGACCAGACATAGGCCTACGGTAGTTTTTAGCTCATTTTTGCAATGTAGGATCGATGTCAAAACTCTAATTGCATCTTCATTTGTTCTTAATAGAAGCTTTTCATATCACTTTGGCCGGCTGACTGGCTGGTTGGATGGCTGCCTGGCTGGCAGCAAATGAGGGCCTGTAGACAATCGCATGTAGAAAGACGAGGAGTGTACGTGTCCATACGGGGTCGTGTAATTAACAACTTTAGGGACGGGGCTACATGATGTGGGGACGGCGACATCTGGGCGCCTAACCCACGCGTGGTTTACTAACGTGGTAATTTTTAGTTTTTCCTATCTTCTTCTACAGTTTTGGCCGAGGTCGAACCCATAATCGCACGTCAAGATACAATTTTACAAGTCGTACGACAAAATCGTATAATGTGAATCTTGAAATATTTGGTTATGGCAACTCGCAAGTCGCAAGAGAAATCGTAATCAAAATCACATAACGTAAATTGCACTTATAAGAATCCCCCATTTACACCCTCTAACTTGTATTTGAACTGACCACAAATTTTTTTAAAGTTTCGTCAATAAATTACCAGTGGAACGGAGAAGAAAAAATAACTTTTTGTCTCATAGGCACAGCCAAATTATCCCTTAGAGCCTTGTGCGATTAATTTAACAGCCTCAATTGCAGATATGCTTTGTGCCTCGATCTTTAACAGGGCTGCGCGTGTAAAAAAAGCAACCAAATTTCGGAGCTGAAATTTTCAAACAATTACTTCAAAATATTCAGACATTGAGATGCTCAAAAAGTACCCAGTGTTTTCACATAACAATATTTTGAAAACTCTTTCGAATGCAGACATCAATGCGAGGCACCTTGTTTTAATGTAACCCAACAGTTTTTGATACTTTCTATCAGCTAAGTCGTAGAACTCTTTGAGTATTTTTCAATGCGAACACTAAAAATAAGTCAATTTTAACAATGGTGAGCTCAAATCAACAATCCCTATAAGTTTTGTTTTTATTTCAGGGACGACCTCCATTGCAAATGCCTTGTTGACACCTTTTACTATTTTTGCCACCAAAATTACCTACAGTTACCGTTGCCTCCACAAAAACCCCACAACTTTTGATTTTAAATCATTTAATGTTAATTAATATACTTCCTTACAATATTCAACGATTATATCCGATTGGGATCACTCCAAGATTTGAATTTGCGCGTCCTTCTGTGGTCAAAAATAATGGACCAAGACGAGAAACAATTTTATAGAGCCATGGTTTGAGGCATCTCACTCAGTCCATATGTTGCAAATTTTTGAAATCCACCATCCATCAATATACCGCATTTTTTTTTTTTACAGAAAACCATGTTTTCTAGAAATAAAACCCTGTTGTGATTGTCGTGGACAACCAGCATATATAAGGAAAAAAATGATTAATCCGCATGTGAGCAAAGGCGAAGAGTGCATTTTCAAATTTGTTTTTTCGATTTTAACAACCCTCATGGACATTTCATGCCTTAATGAGAATACAAAAATGAAATAACAAACAGACAGACAGGTAGACATATCAAGAGCGCCAAAGTGTGCACATTTTATTTTTTGAAAGTGAAAGTGTACTAAAAACGGAACTGTCACGTTCAAAACGGGACGTTTGGTCACATCTCACATTCGACTCATATTCGCTAACTTGACTTAAATTCTCAGAGACGCCTATTGTTAGGTACCTATGTTGTTTCTCACAAAGACAGGCCTAACACCTTCTCTGATTAATTAATAAAAACTTCGTCTACGTCATAATTGTGCTTTTAGATCGTCTTATCATTAAAAATACTCTAAAAATCTAAATACGAGCACGGAACACGCCAAGCTGTGATCAGAGATGTAGGCATTAGAACCTAAATCGCACAAAATACCGTACCTACTTATAATCAAAAATAAATCAATTATACAGTAAACATCCTGCATAATTACAAATCTTGTTGGTTTGACAGAATAAGGTATAATCAGTCGTCGGTTCGCCCTTCCGAGTTCCGATATAAAGGAATGTGTATGTGTAACTAACATAAACGCATGCTAGCAGAAAAATTGCGTGTAGATGGGGAAGGTCAGTTACATACAATACAACATTTGTTGGGCTCTGTGTAATCGGATACCCCTGTTTATCGCAACAGTTCTTGTCTTTCCTATTGCAGTTGTAAACCACGCGCAAGTTATTCATTCTACAGCACTTCCTTGTGGACGCGGAATAACACTAATTTAGTTTGGATTTAACGCACCAGGACCAGAGGCTTAAATCCAAATCACCGTTGCCAGAATTTAACATGGCATGATCCATCTGTAGCATATTTAAATCTGTGCCCATACCATATATTTATCTTTTTTGTACCGATGTGCATATTATAGACTGGTCCATGACCGAGAATTACAACTACATGACGGTCGTCGTATGGTTAGTGCTGAAAAATATGACATATTACAAAAAGCTCACAGCGAGGCCTATCTACAACAAAATGGCATGTTAAAAATACACCCAAACTTCAGAATAATAGCATTAGGCGAATTGTCTAACATGCAGCCGACAAGGAACTGGCTAACCTCAGAGATTCTTAGCTTGTTCTTGTTCCATGAAACACGATTTCTGACAAAGATGGAGGAAATGCATATAATTACGTCTAAGGTAAGGATCTTTCTTTAATACCGCGATGATTTTCATTAATTTTGTAGTTCGGCCCAATATCAGAGACTCTGCAGAAAATTATCGATTTTGCCCACATTTTGCGCGTGAGTCCCGACCCAATTTTAAAGCAACTTTCCGGCCATATGTCCACTAGGCAATTGTTAAGGATCTCCAAGCGGCTTCAAAAGTTTCCCAATGAAGACATGTACGAAATTCTCCAAACTGTTTTTATGACACAGTTCTTGCCGACTTTAACCCGTCGAACTTTGGAGAATGCGTTTGCCAAAATGGAAATTGTACCACAGGCTGGTTTCGAGAGGAAACCCACAACTTACAGTATAAACAATAATGTGCTTACCATTGGAAATACTTCTGCTTTTATATCCGCTACTGAAGAGATTACAAAAGTGCCTCAAGTTCTTTTTTACGACGTACCTCAACATATACAACTAATGGAAAAGCTTCTGCAAGATTTTCAGTTAGGCCTACACCTACTTTTGGTCGGAAATCAAGGCGTGGGTAAAAATAAAATTGTTGATCGATTCTTGGGACTGCTCAACCGTCCAAGAGAATATATACAATTGCATCGCGACACAACGGTGCAGACGTTAACAGTACAGCCTACAATTAAAGACGGCATTTTGGTGTACGAAGACTCTCCACTGGTCAAAGCCGTTAAATACGGCCACGTCTTAGTTATCGACGAAGCTGATAAAGCCCCAACGCACGTAACGTGCATTTTAAAAACTCTCATCGAATTTGGACAGATGTTATTGAGTGATGGCCGCCGAATTACTACAGCGGCACTTAAGGAAAACGATATTCAGATACATCCCGAGTTTCGCATGATTGTACTGGCAAATCGGCCCGGGTTTCCGTTTTTGGGGAACGATTTCTTTAGTGCTTTAGGCGATTTGTTTAGCTGTCACGCTGTCGATAACCCATCTAGGTCTTCAGAAATAGACTTATTGGTACAATACGGACCTGATGTCCCGATTGATACCATAACAAAATTGGTTGACATTTTCGGCGATCTGCGATCAATGGCAGATGAGGGATTGGTCACCTATCCTTATTCTACTCGTGAGGTGGTAAATATAGTAAAGCACTTGCAGGTAATTGTGGTACGTGGATCTTATACACTTACTGCGAAATTGTTATAGAAATTTCCACAAGCGGACATAGATGATGCGTTGTTTAATGTCTTCGATTTTGATAAATACAATCAAGATGCTGTTGAAACTTTGGGACAAGTTTTAATTAAACATGGTTTTCCAAAAACCAATATGTTTACCGCGGAATATTTGGCATTAAAGCAAGCTAAGGAGTACTTACAAGTTACTGTTGACCGTACTAGTGGGTAGGTATTTTTTAAAACATTTTTTCCAATTAAACCATAAATAATCCCAAAGAAATCCCTATTTTGGGACCTCCATAAAAGAGGGGAAAAGTAATGTTTCTATCTATTCTAATACATTCTCATTTTTTATGTACAGGGTGTCCCATTAACAATGGTCACAGGCCTTATCTATTGAACCATTAATTGCACAGCTTCGGGAAAAAATTGTTTGATAATATCATATAATAATAATATCGTTCCGTTTGAAATTTTCAAAAATAAATGCAAAGTTTATGTTTATGTCACATCGCGCCCTGTACCACATTTACTATTACTGTGAAAATCTGTTCACCTAAACAGAAGTTACATTCAACTCCTTAAAGAGATGTTTCCTTTCCCCCACCCCTCATATTTTATGAGCTAGAGTAATATGTGCTGCATCAAAATGATGCAAAATTGATACAAGATTGCGATGCATGTATTTTTTATACATCCTTGTTGGGTATATTTTAGAAAAAAAGTCAGTTTTCTACTTAACCATGACTCGTGCGCCCTCTAGCGGCAAAGCTAGAAACTTGAAAATAATTTCCAGCGATTTCCCTTGGCCCCTTTTGTTAACAAAATTTTTTTCCCGAAGCTTCGCAATCAACGGTTCCATAGATACGTCCTGTGACCATTATTAATGGGACACCCTGTACAGCGCCTGCGTGCAAAAATTACTTAAATGTATTTCAGATTAGATACAAAAGGTCCCAAACACGGAAAGGAAGACCCCAAAAATGAACCACATGTAGGTGGAAACACATGGGCTGGTGGTACCGGTGGACGGGACACAGCAGGGTTGGGTGGTAAAGGGGGACCATACCGTTTGGATAAAGGTCACAAAGTTCATCAGGTATACTTTCTCCTTTTTTTGCCAACTTGATTTTAAATCTTAGCTAGTTGTCAGATGAGGAGAAAGCAGCAGTTCCAGAACATATAAAGCGAGCCGCAAGAGAAATGGGAAGGAAAGCATTTGAAGAACGGTTGAAAGAAATTGGAATGAGTGGATATGATGCTTCTTTGTATGCTCAGTTCTCAGGCGCCGTTTCTAAGCAAGTGCTGTCATTAAGGATAATCCTAGGTTCACTTCAAGCCAAAAATAAGGAGAGGCAGTGGACTAAAAATAAAACATCGGGCGAATTAGACGACACGAAACTAATAGATGGTATGACCAATGGATCGGTGACAGGTAAATTAATTACCTTTTTGTTACTGTAGGACTACTTGGTGAAAAAACCATTTTTCGCAGAAGAACCGAACTTGAACCTGAGTTAGGCTCACCACAAATTAAACCCAAAATGTTGCGCCTTGTTGTGGATGTTTCAGCGAGCATGTATAGGTATGGTATAACATAACCGATATAAGAACACTTAAAGCGTTTGTTTTAGGTTTAATTCTTACGATGGACGACTGGACAGGCAGTTGGAGGCAGTCGTTCTACTAATGGAAGCTATGGAAGGATTCGATGACAAAATACAATATGACATAATGGGGCATTCGGGAGATGCGCACGATATTAAATTTATTACAAAAGGTAATCCACCCAAGAACAACAAAGAGAGACTAAATATACTGAAGGTAAGATTATCAATTGAAGTACTTGTTACATTTTTATTTTTTTAGACTATGTATGCCCATTCACAGTTTTGCTTTGCGGGCGATAACACATTAGAAGCCACAGAATTAGCAATTAAATCTATGTCGGATGGAGATTTTGACGAAGCTATTGTGGTAGTACTTTCAGATGCTAACTTACAACGATATTCCATACCATCATCGGAATTGGCGAAGGTTTTATCTCAGTCAGAAAAAATTAATTCGTACGCAGTTTTTATTGGAAGTTTAGGTGATCAAGCCGAAAGGTAAGCATTATGACCGTACTGGAAAATATACTTTTAAGTGATAAAAAGCCTTCTGAAGGACGCCTAACTTTATGCAATCAAAATAACACTTAAATCAAATGAAGATCTGCCTGTTCCAATTGGTACAGTCCCGGTAACAGATTAAGAGATTTATTTTCTGTGAAGCCAAAGCAACAATATTCAAAATAAGTAATATGACAGCCAGATTTGTTTCAAGAAGTTATTTTGGTTGCATAAAATTAGGCGTCCTTCAGAAGACTTTTTATCATTTGAAAGTAGACATAGGAAATCCTACTTCTACATGAATATCACTGTATATTAAACACTTAACGTCTATTTTAGATTGACACAAAGTTTACCAGCCGGCAGATCATTCATTTGTAAAGATGTATCCACACTGCCTCAAATTTTAAAACAAATATTTTCCTCATCTGTTATTAATTTTTAGATGTCTATATTTTATTTAGGTTATTATTTTTAATAACGATGTGTTAAATAAAAATTGTTGGAATTTATTGTTATGTAATCCTATCTGTATATGTTTCTCCTTCATACCTCATTTGCATCTTCGCTTCCTGCAAGTCTTTCTCGTAATACTTTTAGGTTTTCTTCATCCCATCTCGTCATGTCATTGATCCTCTCCACAACTTTTTTTACAATCTCTTCACATTTTCTTCAGATCTTTTTTAACGCCCAACCGCCTCCTTCAACCGTTGATTGTGCTTCCATTGCATCTCCTTTACCCTCCTCAACTGCTTCACGGTTCTCTTCCCCCTAAACTTCTTTTATACGTTTTACGTATCATATTTACACTATTATTGTGCCTATTTTTAATTAAGTCTTACTCGCGTTTTCTCTGCATTTTTTCTCCTCTCCAAATCTCCCATTCATTCTTGTTTCTACTTTAGATCTTTTTCACATTACCTGTACGTTCCTCGGGTGTTTTTAGACGAATTTCTAGACGATTTCCCACAAAATTTCTTTAGGCCATGTGAAAAGTCGTTTCGGGTTTAAGCTTTCTTTACTATGGAATTTATAAGTATAAATTCAATGTCCTTACATTGCCCTGCCGCAATATGCAACTGTTTCATACCTCCCATATAGCTATGTACTTTCCATGCCTCTTCAGACTCGTCACTCCCAAACTGCTTTATGTCTTCTAGGCCACTTTTTGTCGCTTTTTCCAATAAAGTTGGGTGCGCGTGCGCTATTGCAGCCACTTTCTCTATCTGCTCGCCCGACCCCTACAGCGTTCAATATATTTATTTGTAGTTTTTCCATTGGGTATAACGCTCTGGCAAGAAAAACTTGACGATTAATGCGCAAACTGCACAATATCAACTTGCCTATTTATTAATGTATTTTGTTGAAATTTTAACGGCAAATGCTACTAATAAAGGTAAACATGCCGCATATAACGGGCGATCAGAAATGAGTTGCTGTCGAGTCGCCTTTGGAAGTACGATTTCTCATTGTAAACAAAAATTCCAAAGATGACTCGCAGCAACTCATTTTTGATCGCATGGTGGTAAAATTTAGCTGTGCGCATGCGCAGATCTTTTCTATTTATGGAGATAGAAATTTTAAATAAAAGCAATCTATGCCCACGTAAAAATTGAAATACGCACATGCGCAGAATGTTGTATATATAAATAATCCGTTCTGATGTGATCTTTTGGGATATACTGATCACTGCATGGAAAAGCGCTAAAGTTACTCGCCAGAGAGCGAAAGATTTAATTATAAGCAAGTAATAATAATAATGTTTATTTAGTAAAAAACAAACAGGTATAATCAATGAGTATAAGAGTTACTTATTCAATGATTATACCTATTACTTGCTTATTTCATACCACATGATTGTGCAACCATTCACGTCAGTTATAATTTATAAGTTAATGGTCAAAGCTTTTGTTTTTTCTTGTAGAAACCATATATGGTTATTGCTGGATGTAAAATAGTATATTAAGATGCAAGCGTATAATCAAGTTTTTAAAGCACGCGCAACGAGTTTAATGGCACGACGCGAATTATAAAAATTATAAAAACGCCGAAAAGCATACTCTATAAGATATAGATGCCCAATATAATTTTAACAAAAAAAAATCAATGTATAGTCACTCCATGTTTTGAATAACGTAGGTAACAAAAAAATTTGCTGTGTCTAGCACATATACCACCCCCACCCGTATACCTGCGCATGCGCGTTCTGCTCAAAAGACAAACTATTCTGCAACCCTTTCCTTTATGTCTAACAATATGTGTACCAAATATGGTTCTAATCGGTTCAACCGCGGTTTCGCCGGGAATGAGAGTACAGACGGACCGACATAATTGAGATTTTGTTTGATTCGGATTTCTGGTGCTTCAGAACGTGTATTTCCGTAAAAAAAGGCTACTTTTTTAGCCCTGTGTACCTACTTCGACGAAGACAGACAGACGGACAATGTGCATTATTAATAGCCTAAGCATTGAATTCTCGATTAAAGTTCGCCATGTCGTAAATATATAAATAACAATTACGTTGTACTTTGCGATCAAATCATATTATTTGCATTTACGCATTTAATAATATTTACTTTTCCATTTTTCCATGATTGCCTAAAAGTGGGCGGGATTACGACATGTTTGACGCCCGGATTGGTGCATCGAGTGATACGCTATAATCGATTAAAAAGTATTTTAAAAAAGAAAGTATAAATTTACAATTAATTTAATCGCATTCTCTCGAAGAAAGGGCAATAATAAATTAAATGACACGAAATAGCCATATTGTTTATTTAAATTTTAGGTTGGTATTAGACAGGACGCGATGGCGAATTGCATTATGGGAAAGTAATGTACGTCTATGACAAGTAAATTGGTGTGTCCTTTACTTGTTCAAAATAAGTAAACAATTACCAGTAAGTCTGCTTGTTTATTTCCCATTCTACGTTTTTAATCACATTCGAACCTAAGGATCGATAGCGGTACCCCCCTTCATTAGTATTTGTTTGTTTATCTTGCGGTAATTTTTATAGAACAGTTTTATGTACACATGAAAAACCCTTCTGGTTTATTGACAATAATAATCAACCCTATTTCTACATTGCAGTCTTCATGACAGAAGGTGTCTACAATGTGTGATCAAACACCGGTTGAATACAAAGATGGGGACATAGTATGGGTTAAATTAGGCTCGTGTTGGTGGCCAGGCGAAGTGCAAGACATAAAAAGTATCGACGAGGAAATCATAGCTGTACCAAAGAAACCTATTATCGCCGCTGTCAAGTTCTTTGACGAAGATTGCTAGTAAGTCACCGACCGCAAGTGTTTCTCCATTAATTTCACTTCGTTCCAGTGAGTTCATTAAAAGTATCGATCGAATCTATCTGTACAATTGCTCGAAGAAGAACGAGTTTATTAGGAAGGGATTGGGTAAGTTACGTCGCGTACGAGAAAGCGGAAGTCGAGAAATACGCGCTCATTTCAGATTTGCATAGAGCGAAACACGAGTACATGAAAAAATTTCCGACCGACGTCTCGAAAGCTGAAGAAAGAACAAATGGCGATCCGAAGATTATCGACGATCCAATTTTTGCGCCGGAAAAAAAATCGAATGTCGCCGCACTCATTTTTGGTACACCTAAACAAAAGAAGTCTACAAAAAAGTCTCTCGGAAGTGGACAGAAAGCATTATCGACTAGTAAGTAGCGCATAATTGCGTGGTGTGGGTCCATTTTGTTTGATGTATTTCTGTGACAAAACTGAGCAAAATAGTTTCTGCGTGTGCCTTTATTTTAGAGTATGCAAGTCTGATGAACGCTGACTAATTCACAGAGACCACCCATAATAAAAAGTTGTCGAACTAGTGAATGAAATTACAGCAAACTTTCATAAGATTTTTCATCATACCCTGTATATTTATTAGTAGAAGCATTGAGCAGATACATGCTTGTGGTTAGCGGTACATTTTCAAAGTGTACTAGATCGAACACGGACATAACACAAACATATACATGAAGTAAAGAATTGGGCAATATCCATTGGATGTACTTTCTAAAGCCTTGGGCCAATTAATGAACTTCCATATGACGTACATCTAGGTGTTTATGCGAGGGGTAAATCTCTGGTGACATTTTACACGCAAATGGAATTTTTGTTTAATTTTTTGACATTTCTGTGTATTTCTCGCATTTTTGTGGAATTTTCAACTCGCTATCTAGTATGCTAGATTATTAGCCGTTACCTATTTTTAGAGTGAACATTTACCGAAGTAAGTTCTCCCATAGTCCATGATCCATAGTTATTCATTTATTTTTTATGAAGATACGTCAGTACCAATTTGTGTTAACTGCCACAAATGGTAGGTAATTAGCAAAGCGTACATGTGCACTAATTTTCTTCTGCATCTTCTGAAATTAAAGGGAGGAGTTAAATTAAACAGCAGAGGAAAGGAAAAAAGTAAAAATGTAGTAGATTTTTATCGTAATGAATTCCTAAATTACAATGTATTATGCGAATTTACTCTCGGCCACAGTGCTTTATCTAGAGCACTACGAGTACTATACAACTGTAATAATTATACTGCTTTTTCATTTATTGTTATTTTATTTTTGTGTGTATGAAATGGTTCGTACTGAAACAAGTGTATTCCCGGGAAAAAATATACTTATGCAAGAATTTGTAGCCAATGAACTTTGTTATCTAATTTATTACCTACCATGTAATGCGTAGTAATTTATAGCACAGTTTAAGTTCTAGTAAAGATAATACTACACTAGATAGACACCGTAAATGGAAGATGTTAACCTCTTATTTAGTTCTGTAAAGAAAATAGGGGGCTTTTGCAAAGAAGTCGTATGTATTCGACACACGAGCTCTATTATATTATCCCGTCCATGACCTACCTCACATTCCTTTACGTATTTACATAGATTAAATTATATTTAAAGCGAGCCACATGCGGTTCTTTTGGTATAAAGTTGAAGCTCTCCGCATTTATCTAAAAAAACTAGTTCATCTTTTTCAAAATTCGTCTTTTAATTAATTTGTGACATTTTTTGACATTCTTTTGTTTTTTTATTATCACAGTCTACTCCGATGTATAAACATGTTTGTGAAAAAATTTTCAATAACCTAAAAACTATGGAATTTAAGCACAGTACACCCCTTATAAAAATTGAAGAGAACACAAAAGACAATCGAATAGCGAAATAACATAGTAGTTCCATTTAAAAAACAATAGTTTTGGCACTTGAAGTTTGGACCACCTTGTATAGCTAAATCCAACTTTCTCATTATCAAAGTGTTGTCCTTTTCTCGGATTAACATTATTGATCAAATGTATTTCTTAACTTCAAAATCAAGGTAGCTACGATTTCATCAAAGTGAGGGTTGCTTATGGCGAATTATTCGGAAAACAATTAATCAGATGACAACTTTGACAAAAAATCAATAAGTGAATAGGTTTCCATGTAGAGGTTAACAAATGATATTGAAACAAGTAAAAATATACAGAGTTATTTATTGACTCAGTGGTCCAAG